CCCGAGAGCTCCCTGTAGGCAGGGATCCTGTCTTCCTGGATAGACACGATTCCCAGCTCCTCGCACCATGTCTGACAAAGTGAGTGCTCAGTATGTAGCTGTGGTTGTCACTCCCTATTCCAGCCTACCTTTACCGAGCATCCGTTGAGTTCTCAAGTGTCGTGCAGGGAGGGCTTTGGGAGTCTGGCCCCAGAGAGGCTGCAGTCAGTGTACCTCACAGAGCTGTAAAGCAGGGCTCCGTGGCACCATGCAGGAATGTGCCTGGCCACAGGGGGCTCATTCTATGGGGACCCCCTTGTCATCTCCTGTGAAGCCCACAGTGCAGAGATAGTCTGACCCTCATTAGTGAGCAGACTGGCTTCAGTTTGCACCCCCCGAACCTAACTGGAAGGCATCGCTACAATAGTAGCTGGCCAGAGCTTTTACTGAGGCTGATGCTGATGTTCTGTATGAGTCGTGAGCCCACTGTGGGCAGGTCTGTGGATCAAGCAGTTTCTATACAGTTTCTTATCTGTATAGATATAAGCCCATGAGCCTGAAAGGACAGGGATTTTAATGGCTGGTTTTTATTAAACAGATGAGGAAACACTTCCAAAGATCCTAAAACTCAGCAGCTGACCACAGTGCTGGGATTCACACCTAGTTAGTTCAGTATCCAAACTCAACCTTGTCCCCGCATCTCCTGAATGAGGAATCAGTCGGTGAGCGTGAGGGGAGTGTGTGCTCAGGGATTCTAAATCAGCAGAGCCCTGCCGTCCCAGCACCCACTGGGTAGAAACTCAAATGAAGCCAAAATAGAGTCTGTCAGCAGGAGGACGGTGGCCACTTTCTCGGGCACCAATTTTGGTTTATCTTCCCCGGTTAGGCAGACCCCAAACCTCGGGCCATCACAGGGAAATAAAGTGAATGCCCAGTGAGAGGAACCCTCCCCCATCAGAAAAAGACGAAGTCAACGCCTCTTTTGTGGCATCGGTGTTGAAAAAGCCTGAGGAAAAGAGAAAGTAAGGCCAGTGGAGGTGGGGACAAGGTTACTGATCTGACTCTTGCCTTGGAGAAGTGCTTCATCATCCCCAAGCCAGCGGGGCTCCCCGTGGCCCGCTCACTCTCAGAGGTGTGATAGCAACCTGCTGACTCCAGCCTGTACTAACATTAACAACATGACTGGTGCTGCTGCAAGAGATGGAAAGAAAGAGAAAACACACGCGGAGGCCAGGAGACCGAGCAGCACAAGGAGGGGACAAGATGCACCATGCTTGGGACGCACTCTGTGGCTCCCACAACAAGCTGTGCTGGGGCCTGCAGACCTCGCTTCTATGTTGCTGCCTGGTGCCCTACTCACCAGGCTGTGCCTACCCAGACACCTTAAGTCTTTCGGTTACCAGAGCACCCCCCATGCATCCCATACTTAGGGGATGTTGGTGTACAAAGATGCTCTCTTGGAGTTGGGTAGGAAAGAGAGGCACCTTTGCTTTTCTGAAGTACCGCATAGGCAGGGTCAAGAAAAATGACATGTTTGGTCCTGCCCGAGAGGCAGAGGACTGAGAGGCTCAGCTGAGAGAAGGGGGTGGGGAGCCATATTTTCTTGTGGGGCAACTCTGTGTCCAATTCCATGCCACCAGGCGAAGTAACCCTCTTTGGCATTTGGTGGGCACAAGGGCAACATACTGAGGATGAAGGAATCCTGGAAGGTGCTGATTCCCCACCCTGAGGGATGTTTGCTGCAAAGTCCATGATATTCCTGTAACATACGCTCGCAGGAGAAATTAGACAAAAAAATGTTAGCCAACATGTTATTGAGGGGACATGCATACACAGAGCACATGTGTCACAAACTGCACATCCGTGCATAGTTGCCACCTGGATAAATAGAACATTAGCAACACTTCAGGAGCCCCCTCCTGCCCCTGGTCACCCTCTGTCCCTTCCTGCTGGCTCAGCAAAACCTTATCCTGATGTCTCACAGCATAGATTAGTTCACCCTGTCTATGAATTTCCTATAAACAGCATCACATACACTCCCTTGTGCCTGTCGTCTCTCACTCAAAAGTCGGTTTGCGAGACGTATTTGTATGTTGTGTGCAGTGGTTGGTCATCCTTCTGCCTCTGTGATGTTCCATGGGGTGCGCATTTTTAAAATCCATGTTGCTATTGATGAGCCTTCATGTAGTTCCCAGTGTTCAGCTGTCACGAGTAGTGAGCGCTGCTCTGAACCCGCTAAGACGTGTCTTCTGGTGAACATTTCCGTGAGTTTTTACCCAGCGACGGACCTGCTCGGTCACGGGGCGTGCCTGTGTAGGCCATGCAGAACACTTTCCAAAAGCGGTTGTCTCTCTTCAGAATGTGTGTATGAGAATTCCAGTTCCTCATCAAAACCAGTTTGGCTACTATCTGTCTTTTTTATTTCGGCCAGTTCATTAAAAAAAAAGAGCACATGACCTGAAAGGAATTACATACCACCCACCACAATGGAAAGTGCTTCTCGAGAGAGGGTTCCCTTTGGTGACGGTGGACGTCGTGTGCAACATGCTGCATCCTGGCAGGGGGAGCCCGTGGCTGGCCGCCTCCTGGCCCGAACCTCAGTGCTCGCTGCCTGGCCTCGGTCGGGGACCACTGCTTTGCTGCACTAATGCCCAACAGAGCATGTCCCAGTTCTTCCCCAGGTGACAGAGCCGAAATGGACCCGACCCCAACAAAACAAACTTGGATTCGGACTGGCCTGGGAGCCTCAGTAAATATTTAACAGACTGTGTCCCCCATTCTCTCTGCCGCCAGGAGCCGGGGCCAGGGTGATAAGCCCCTATCCCCTGCCTGCCGCAGGCAGCCCCTGGCTACTGATTGGGCTCCAGGCCTTATATCCTGCAGCGAGACTGTGCCGGCCTGGTGGCTCCTGGTGTTTGCTGTTGGGGCTGCAGATGGCTACTCTGGCTCCTGTCTGTGTCTGGCAACGTGCCCAGGGCTCTGTGCTGATTATTTTCCGTAACCTCACAGCAGTTTCGTGGAGTAGACTGGATTTGCCCCCATTCTACAGTTGAGGAAGCTAAACGTATTTCCCCAGAGGAACCTGGCTAGTAAATTTGGTAGTTTGACCTCAAACTTTAAAGTTTGAACCCGCATACTGTACCTTTCTCTTAGAGCTAGTGTTAACCGTTTGAGCTTCCTTTTGAACTCATCTTCTCTTGGGCCTAAGAGCTATGTCAGGTGGGTTTACTTGGGATAAGGGGAGCCCATCCTGTGACCCCTGATCACTGAAGGATAATGAGAATGGAGGATGGGTGGCCTCTGGGATAGCTGCCGTGAGCAATTGGCTTCCAAAGATGTCCTTGTTCTACTCTCCAGACCCTGTGAATAGGTTGTCTTACGTGCGTAAAGGGAATTGCAGACATGAATCGGGTTCGTGTCCCTGAGTTTGGAGAGGTTATTTTGGGTCATCCGGGTGGGCCCAAGGTGGTCGCAGAGGTTCTCAGAGCTGGAAGAGGGAGGGTTACTGAAGGAGAAGGTTACTGAGGACGGAAGCGGGTCGGAGAGATGCTGTGTTGCTGTCTTTGAAGGTGGAGGAAGGGGGGGGGCCCAAGCTGGGGCACCTGAGAGCAGCCTCTGGAAGCCGGAAAAGGCAAGGGAACAGTTTCTCTTACAGCCTCCAGAGGGAACAGTCCTGCCAGCACCTCGATTTTAGCTCAATCAGAACTGTTGGCTTCCTGACCTCCAGGACTGTAGGATCGTACATTTGTGTTGTTTTGTCCCACTGAGTGTTTGAAAATGTGTTACTGCAGCAAATTGCTATTGATGACAGTTGGTGTAATAATGGTCGAGCTCATAGGCTATGGGGCTGGACTGCCCAATTTCAATTCCATTCTATGATTTTCTAGCTCTGTGATCTGGGGCAACTTGCTTGCCTTGTCTGGGTCTCCTGCTCCTCCTCTCTCAAACTGGGGTAAGGAGAGTGTCTGATACTTAGGGGTGTTGTGAGGATTAAATGAAGATTCTGTGCACGTGAAATGCCCGGTTCTAAGTTTTAGGTTCCGAGTTCGGGGCAGGTGTCTCTCACTGGTAATGAGAGGGCGGGAGATCAGGGCGCAGACTTGGGAGACAGACTGGCCTCAGATTCAAGCTCTACTCTTACGGTTTGGAGTGAGGAAGTGAGCTGTCTGTGCCCCATTCCTTCATCTGGAAAACAGGCAGGAGTTCCAGTGTGGCTCCGAGTTTGTGTCTGGTAGTGGTGAGAGCTTTTAGCAGGGTGAGTTACAGGCACTGTGAGAAGGGCAGTTATTGTTATCAGCAGGTGGCTGGTGATGACTGGTAGGCCTCCAGCCGGTGCCTGGTGGGTCCATGTGTTCTCCAGTTATCACTGTAATAATTTTAGTGCACTGGGTTGGGAAACAAAAGTATCCCCACAAAGATGAACACCACCTAGTAGGCGCTCAGTCATTGCCGAATGAATGAGTAGAAAAGTGAACAGGTCCCAGGCCCGCCCTGAGCAACCGCTCAGCACAGGACGAGGCTTGGAGCTGCGCCAGGGCCAGCGCTTTGCGGCAGTCTTTAAAAAGAAACAAAACAAAGAATGACTTCCTACCAGCTGACCCAAAACCCCGTCCGCTCACTGTCTGGGCCTCTGTACCCTGCAGAGCTGTGTGGCAGGTCTGGCTGAGCCGTTAAGCCCCTAAGCCAGTCATCTGAACTTGCTGGAACTTTCTCTCCTCAATATTATAATGGATGTACCTCAGCCCCCTCTGTCCTGCCAGGGCCATTCTGAGGAGCCCTGTGCCGTAGAAGGATCCCCCTCTGAGAAGTCTGGTGCCCATGGGAGGTGACACTGCCCTGGAGGTCCTTGGTCTGCTGCCTTGCCTCCATTTGGGTATCAGAGCTGTAGGGTGTAATTTTTAGAGAGTTCCCCTCTAGGTATATTAGGGACAGATATAAAGAAAGGAGAATAACCAACCACTGCTCCGGGTTCATGATTATAACAAGATTGTTTATTATTATTATTTTTTTCTCATGCCCAGGCCTGATCTTTTGACCAGAAAGGAATTAAAAGGACAACCTTCCTGATTGATGGCCATACCTGTGCACTGCATGGAGCTCCATTCAAGGATTTTTTGAGCCATGTGGATTTACAATGATATTCAGCTGCCTGGGGAATAACGCTGGTGGAGGAACCTTCTCTGGAATTACATGCACCTGGCGCATTTCTGGATGCTGAAGGTGATGTTAAGGAAGGCCCCGGCTGAGTGCCTCGTGGATTCCTGCAACCCGGATGCTGGAGGGGCATGGAGGACCACAGCTTCCTGGCAGCCTGAGCTCTCACCTCGGACAAGAATGTTTGGTTGGGTCTTTCTAGACCCCCGTGGGGGCTCCCTAGGAAACGTAAGTCCTGCCTCGGGTCTCAGGTGCACGCATCTCATGCATGCCTGCCAAGCACTCGCTTGGGCTTTACGGGTGACTCTGGCCTGGCTGGGGTAGGTTACTTGATGTGGCCGGCCCTCAAAAGGGGCTGGCATTTAATGGGCTCACCCCGTGTGTCTGGCTTGGTGCTAGCCCCTGTGGGAGACAGATGGGAAAAGAAAGGTGCGTCCTGGGAGCCACTGCTGTTTCCTATGCTGACGTGTGTCATCATGTTCATCAGCTTCATTGATTTTCCTGGTTTTTGTGTCTGCCTCCACCTCTCAGACTGTAAGTGCCTTGAAGGCCAAGGCCTGTTCCACATGGCTCTGTGCCTCTGAGACAGAGCCCAGTGCTTGGTGCATACAGTGTCTGCTGCTGCAGAAAGGGTGCATTGAGACAGGATTGCTAATGAAGCGAGACACCAGAGAGTGAATAAGGAAGGTAGCATTAGGGGGCAATTCCTTGGCTCCGTGCTCAGAGTTGGAAGCAGTCAGATGTCAGCAAGGTGGCTCTGGAGCCCAAGGACCTGAGTTTCAGTCCCTCACCTGTACCTCCTGTGTGACTCTGGGTAAATGACTGCTGGACTCCTTGCCCTTGTCTATTCCATGAGAGTGAAGTAGTGTCATACTTCCCAGGACTGGTGTCGAGGGTCACAGCATTGGGCACGCCATGCCAACAGCCCGTGTCGGGTCTGGCACTCAGCAGACACTGGGCACATGGGTGGAGGGGCTCACCGTTGCTTTGGGGGAAAGCTTCCTGGGAGAGTAGGTGTCGCTTGGGCCTTAGAGCCTTTCTGAGCCGAGCCGGGGGGGCCGTGCTGGACTTTGAGCTGGGCACTGCCAGTTGGCATGGACAGTTGCTCAAAGGCCACAGTCCTTGGAGCCCGTGGGAAGGCTGAGTGGCAGCTCAGTAGCAGGTGAGGGAGGGAACAGCTGGACTTGGACTTGGCAACAAAGGCTTGCAGCATGGTTCTGCTGTTGACAAGCAGGAGGACTGGCCCCCACGATGTCCTGACTTGGCAGCTGTGAGGTTGGTGGCTCCCAGGGATGTAGCCTTGGTGTGGGGCTGTCCACAGGAGAGTGGCAGTTCAAACAACCAGGTCCGAGGGCTCTCAGGTCGTCTGGGGCCACCTGGCACTGGGCTGCCAAGACTACTCGGGGTGAGGCCCGGAGTTCAACTTCGATTGGATCCCCAGGTCCCCTCATGCTGGTGGCACCGCTCAGAAGGCCTTTCCCTGACCTCCTAACGGAGACGGCAGCCCTCTGGTTATTCCCCTGTGTTCAACTCGCAGCTCCTGGGTGGGCTGCGAGAGCACACTCACCGATGCACGGTGTCTGATTTCCGGTCGTTCCCCCACACTCAAAAGTCATCTCTCTGAGGCCAGGAAACGTGTTTATCTTGCTCACAGGCTAAACGCATAGTAGGCATCTTATTTATTGCATCACAGTTAACCACTCTTTGGGGTTTTCTTACAGTGGCTTCCCTGGAAAGGACAGGCAAAAGGGAAACACTTCCTGTTGGAGCGTCTATAAAACTGGCCCGAGGGTCCCACTTGGTGGATGATGGCGTACCCATTTTATAGTTGAGAACTTTGAGGCTTTGGGAGGCCATGTAACTTTCCCAAGGTTATTCATGCAAGAGAAGGCAGAGCAGGAAGCCAGGAAGGGTATGTGTGTGCTTGTATGTGTGTGAGCTGAGTACTGCCAGCTGGGTGCCCTCTTTGTTGTCCTGGAGAGACTTTCCATAAGACTTGAGTCCCCCACTGGGTGATGGGGGCAGGCACCATGCTGGGCCCGGGGATGCAGTGGGGTTGGCATCACAGTCCACCCCTGGAGGCTCCTCGTTGTCTGGGAGCCCTTGCCTTTGGGTGAGTGGCGATGTGCAGCCCAGAATGATGGGTGCTATGTTCATTGCTCTGTGGCCAAGCAGGTCAGGGAGAGGAGCCGTGTAAGCAGGGCTGTTGCAGGTGTGGGGAGTTGTGGAAGGCTGCTGTGTTCAGCTGGGCTTGCAGGGGTGGGCGGGCCTGTCCTGGAGTCAGGAGCAGCTCCTCTGCAAAAGTGAGCGGGGGGCACCGAGGCCCAGCACTGCCCCTTCCACTTCTGCTTTCACAGGGCTCTGGCACCTCTTCTTGTCATCTCCCCCCTCACTCCCACTGTGGCCGCTGCACCCTCGCTTATCACATGGCCCACAGCCCTGGATTTTCTCCTGTTATCGGTTACTCCCTAGAACAACCCTGTTGTGGTGGTCCTGGTTATCTCTTGCTCCTCCCAGGAGGGTCAGGGTGGGCTTGGGCACCAGAAGGCACACGGTGGTCACAGCCAGAAATGAGACTTCCACCCGCCCCCCTCCTTTTCATTTGCCCTGAGCACTGACCCTGTGTCTGCACTGGCGCCCCCTCTGGACAGTGAGGGAGGAATAATCACTGCTTATTAAGCTGATCTCTGTGCAGGGCAGTCGGCAGACATTATTCCGTTCCATGCCCCCAATAGACCCGGTGGGGTAGGCACTATTTTATGAAGTTCTTTTTTAGTGTTGAAGTAACTGGAGCACAGAGAGGCAAAGCAGGTCTCCCCAGGGCACACAGTCAGGATTTGGAAACAATTCTTTCTGATTCCACAGCTATTGGGTCAGCCCACCTGGAGCCTTGAGATGCATCCCTTTCTCCCTTCTTGGCCCTGAGGGGCTGTGTGACCCCAGGCAGATTTCCTTTTTCCTCTGGCCCTTTCTACCCTCATTGGCAGGGAAGCTGCCTATTTTCTCTTCTCACTTGAGACACTTCCCGTGAGAGCACTGGGACACTTACCCAGGGACACAGGTGTTGGGAGAGTGTGGCCTTTGGAGCACCTGGCTAAGCCGGAGGACGAGGGCGAAGGCTGGCCGGTTGGAGCGCACAGCAGCCTCTCTGCTCTGGCCAGGGGGAAGCCTGGCAGCTTTCTGGGTCTCTCCGAACCTGCCTCTTCACACGTAACGGGGGTGAGGCACATGCACCCCGCCAGGTCGGAAGGCCGACCAGGCACATCTGGGCATTCATCCACACTGGCCAGGGAGTGACCGCATGGCCCTCATGGAGCATCCTCTGTCTCCAGACTCAGCGCGGAGACTGAGTCATAGCCCTTCTCTCATGGGGACCCTGTGCAAACTCCAGGGGGCCCGGGTACCCCTGTAGGAACAAAACATACCCATGTTTTGGAGCTTTGCTGTTTCGTAGGTGGGTGACCTGTGCCAGTTCTTAAACCTCCCGGAGCTGTGCGCACTTCGTCTACAAAGTCAGGACCATAACGCCCCCGAATCTCCAGCTCTTCCCCTGGGGTGGCCAGCTATACTATATGCTCTCTGCATGTCAGTTCCCTCCAGGGGGCCTGTGGCTGCTGGTGGTTGCTGGCCTCCTCCCTCCCTCAGTCCACAGGAGGCTGAGGCCTGGCTTTTCCATCTGGAGCCCCAGGGTATGAGGATTGCAGCCCCGTCCTCCTGGGTGAGGGCTGAGTGTCAGAAGTCTTGAGAAAACACTGGCCCGTGGAATTCCAAAGTTAATGAAGGGAGCAGATTCCAGGAGGGTCTCTGCGTGACCTCCTACCCTTCTCCAACCCCCTTTTATCCCTGAGTGAGTTTGGAAGCCATTGAAGATTTATGGCAACTCTGCACTTGGAACTCTCTCCGTAGCGGGGCAGGATGGTGGCGGGAAGCCTGGGCCAGAGTGGGTTTGAACCTCTCCCCTAAGGTACCTGGTTGACCAGAGAAAGGCGTAGGGAACAACCGAGGTGGTCAGGGCAGGGAGAAGGGGAGAATGTGTGACCTGTGTGGGGATGACCCTCAGCTTTTCAAAGGAGGGGCAGAGTAAAGGGCCGGGGCGAGGCTTGAAAGAAGACCCAGTTGCCTTCAACCAACCAACAAAAACCAAATCTAGTTTTCATTTATTCTGACCTTAGGGCCCAAGAGGCTCTTTCCTCAGCGCTGGGTAGAGACTGGGCTTTTGGCGATAGATACAGTTTCAAGTACACTCTGCCCGGGGCTCATAGGCCCTTCCTGGCAAAGGCCTGCGTGAGCGTGTGTTCCTATCTGTCCTGGTCGCTCTCTCACCTGTGTCCTCCCTGGGAAGTCGGTCACTTCCTGCGATGGGGTTGGGCAGGCTTTGTCTCCTTTCTTTGTCTTGTCAAAGTCTTTTTGCAGGGCAGTTGCTGGGGGTAGGGGGCTCCCTTCTATCTGTCACCATCAATGCCACTCATCATATGGGTGGACTTTCTGAGGAGAGGGGCTCGGCTCCACTGATTACCAGGAACTGCCCTGGGCTGACCCTCCCCCTGAAGGCTTATCTGGCTCTAACCAAAGAGCAGCTGCTGGTGGTGAGGTTTCTGAGTCACTCAGAAGTTCTGGACTGGGTTTAGCCGGAGGCGATGACATAAACAAATAAACATTAGCCCGACCAGCTCCCAGCTTTCAGCTCACCTGGGGCCCTGCAAACTCTGTCGCATATTCGAAGGATGCTCGTGTTCTTCATGAAAAAGGTTTTTTCTGTTGAGGAAATGTTCCCCAGAGGTTGTTGGGGAAAAATCCAGGGCGTCCTGGCTGTGTGACTGTAGGGAGGCTGCTTGGCTTCTCTGGGCCTTTATTTACTCTTCTGTGAAGCCAGGTTATTGTGAAAATTAAATCAAATGAGGCGAGAAACCCGGCCTCAGTCTTGAGTCCTTGCCTCTGAAGTGGACACATAGTAAACCCTGAATCTAAGTCAGATTTGCAAGTCATTGCTTTTGTGACTCTCCTGTTTTCTGGTTATTGAGACAGCTCAGGCAATTCCTGGGACTTCTTGGAGGCTCCAGCTCATATTTCAATGAGGTGGCGGTCCTTGCCTTGTGCCACTCACGCGCTTGTTGAGAGGACCAAATGAGTCACCTCTGGGAAAGTGCCCGCGAGAGAGCTGGACTGCGCTGGCTTCAAGGAGCCAGGCGGGATGGCTGTGGCTGATTCCTCAGTGAGGGGGCGTGCTG